ATTATTATTTGTTAAACTCTCTCAATTAATTGAAAACAAAGTTCTTTCCAATTTTGTGCAAATGCTATTACGCATCATGTCGACGTCATAATTCTCCCTATTATAATTGGCTTATGATCAGCGCTTAATGTTTTCATTTAATTATTTTGATAGTGCATTATATATAAATTTGATTCATCACAATGCATTGAAATGGAAAATAAAGAATGCTGAAAATAAATGTGTAATTTGAACCCTTAATCCAAATGCAAAATATTTTATAAGGCTGAAAAAATGATTGACAATTTGATTGAATAATTCTCTCAATATTAAGCCGAAAAATAATGTATAAATACATTATTATCTAAATCCTCACAAAAGGTAACTCGAATTATAAGTTGGAAAGGTAATTTATTTAGATGCATATACTGACTAAACAGATCAACAATATCTCAAGCATCAATTTAAAATACTTTAACACGAATTGATGTTCTAGAAGGACAATTTGATAGCATTATATTTGATATATTTATGGCACGCCTAAAGCGTGATGGTATTCAATTCTAACACAAAAAATCTCTAAATGAAAAATAGAGCAATTAGCAAAAATAGTTTCATTAAAGAAGCGTATACTTTTGATGAGTATTTAGATATAACAAATTATAAAATCTTAGAAGAAATTCAAGTACATGATGCATTGAAAATTGAGATATCTTCATAAATTATGTCATTATAGAAAAGAAATAGAATCAAAAAGAAAAAACTGTCAACAATACTTTTACACGTGATTTATTGCATCATATTATAAATATCGAGGATATCAAAGTAAATTTGTCATCAATCGAAGTAATGATTGGTCAAATGAAATGACGCGATCATACTAAATTGATTTTATTGGAGAAACCTAAAATTTCTAGATCTGCAGTCTAAATACCTAAATGTGTATATTTATGCGAAATGAAAATGAAAAAAGTAAAGTTCAATATGAAATGTACAATTCTTTACATAATAAATATCATAAAGACTTGTATAAATAGATAAATTATTATGTGGTGGATGTACTTACAAATCTTTATTTCATAGCGTGACAATGCATGAAATTGATGTGCATATAATAAATGTGATTATAGACAATTTATTTTGTATAGTTTTGATACTGTCCTGGAAGGATTTAATATACCTGAAATATAATTAAAGTGATATATTGATGAGAGAGAGTAAATACGCGTTCGACTCTTTTTTCTTTGATCAATGTTTTGTTAAATTGGATTTTTCTGACAATGTTTTTAATAGGGCAACTTTTATAGCATATTTAAAATAATAACGTACACTTTTTTCCTTCATTAGGATTTTTTTTTTTTATATGATTTTTCCTAATAAGATTTTAATGAGGCATATTCTTTGTGCAATGATGCCATTAACCTACAAGATAGCAAGAGTTGTTTTCTAAATCATCATAATAATACAGTTATTAAAGGATGATAAATATTTAGTATGAAGATAGTGTTATTTGAATCCTATGCAAGACAATATGAGACATTGATGTACGAGATATGGATAGCTTGATATAAAATTGAAATCAAGGGGAGTAGCTATACTCCTTTCCCTTAAATCAAGATTTGTCCCACTAGATTTATTTGACAATGTTTTAATAAGACAGCATTTTATTACTCCAAATTATTTGTATTTTTTTTTTATTTGTTGTCATTTTTGTCCCATTGTATTGTTTTGCCAAACAAGATTTCCATGAGATAGTTATTGTACAAATATTCATCAAGGGGAGAATGTTATAAAATAACAAGATAATTATTAATGATTACATAGTATTATCATGATACATAGATAAGTCTTATTTAGCTTAGAAGACCTATTTCATTTCAATTGTAACTATTATTTTGGAGCCTATAAATATAGGGCATTGGTTTATAATAATACATACTTGAGTTTTGATACTTATATTCTATTATTTTTTGTTCTCTTTTCATAACATGGTTAACAATTATAAGAAAAAAAAATATTTTTATTGAAAGAATGTGTAATTAGAAATAAATCTAAAAAACATTAAATTTTAAATTAATTGAGCTAAATAAGCGCTTAAAATGCAACAAGAACAAACACTAGCAGTACTGGATAAACCTATACTCCACTTGCTCATCTGGCGATTGGCAATAATAAAATGCATAACTTCATTAAAAGCAAAAGTCATGGCAGTTTTAATTAAACCTTATAAATAATTAAATGTGGCTAAATTTAGCATATCAGTGAGATGCATTGAATCATCGATGACTTTTCACTCTTAACATATCCAACTCATTTCAAATATTTTTCTTTGCGAATTTTCTTAGAATTTCTTGTGTGCTGTATACCTGTAAATTATTGTTTATAAATAAAATTATGCATGAATTTTTTGAAAATAAGCGTATCAGTCACTTGATTTTTCTGAAAGTACAAAGTGAACGACAATTTTTTCATGAATCTATTCTACACCGAGAATAGAAGTTATCCCAAAAGGGTTCTTGAGTACCTAAATTATAGGGATTTAGGATCTAAAACCCACAAAGAACATATGGAAACATTTAGTGCATGTTTGGTAACAATTTTTCACTTTCCAAAAAAACAATTTTTGATCGTCATTTTTTACTTCTTAACTCACAGATTGGATCAACTTTTTTCTCTAACGATCAAAAAATCAATTCTCATAATCATTACCGAACATGCCCATAATAATTTATTATTGCATCGCAAGAATCAGAATGTGAACTTTTAAAATACTAGAAGTGAGATCCTACTAAACTTCAATTTCTAAGAAGCAACAGTAGGTTCATCTTGATATATACTTTTTTATGAATTATGAAATGAGCAAGACCATTGATTTTTACAAGTTTAAAGATGCATTAGCTTATAATTTAATCGAAGTTATTAGTTCATATCCTTACTCGATATTGAGATCAAGAAATTTTTCTCGCACAAAAGAGAACATCGTGTCATCAAATGTTCTTATATAAAAAGTTGTGAAAAATGTAATTAATTATATTTAGGTATGAATATCTAGTTTTCTTTGAAAAAAAGAAGAAGAAAGTATTTTATATAATTTAGATAATTCAGAAATCAAAGTGGTAACAATCCCATGATCTACCTGATCTATGATACAATCATTATGCACACACCAAGTTATTGAAATTTATATCGAATGGTTGTATATAAAAATTAAATTATGAATGTTAGTTATTATGTTACATTGTTACTAATTACTTATTTGAACTTGCCTTTGAAAAATATTGAACGGAATAATGAATAAATTTAAATAATGTTCAGCCTACTACGTAAATTGATACTCTTTCCATATGGTACTAATTATTGAAGTCAGAATAGAACGGTACAGGATAAACATGCACTCCACTTATTTTTTCTTGGGATTGGGACTTTATTACTTCTAAAGTCACAATCAATAATACCAGATACCTTATAAGTAACACATCCATAACGATTTTGAAAATTATTAATGTCAATACTTATCAATTCTTTTCAAGTATCTTCTTGATCAAAAGCTGCATGAGATTTTACAAGGTTTTAGTTTGTTTTATTGTTGTAAAACCTTTACTATCAATTTTTATAAGGAAATAAAATAGGGAAGGCAAAATGGTCCGTCGCAGGTCACCTTGCCACACTGGTGAATTGGAGGGTAACAGAAAACATGATCCTTGTCTCACACCCACCTCGACTTTTATTTTTACTTGTTTTTATTACTTGTTTATGTATTTAAATTTATATTGTATGCAAAGAAATAAATCAACAAAATATGAAGGAAATGGGAATGGGAATATTGTAAACCTTGCTTCCTCCACAAAAACAAAGGAAAAAAAAAAAGGAAAGAAAGAAAAGAGAGAAAGAAAACACATGCACGTAGGGGGATGGAAGGGTCGTTCCATCCATTACTCTTCTTGAAATAAAATATATATGGCGAATCAATTTCCATGCAATCCTTTTAATGTGATGGGAACAAATTAACTTATTAATTTCCATTCCATTTAATTCTTAATTTATGGCAACCTTTTTTTTTTTTTTTTTGGATAGTAAGGTTGATATTAACTTCTAGTTAATTAACAAAATGACAATTAAAAAATCGTAAAAAGAAGGCGTAAAATATTTATCTTAAATAATGAAATATCAAATGATTATATTGTGCAAATTAAATAGTAAACATCATGAGACAGGTCATGTAAAGTCATCGGTCACCTAAACAATTTTTAATTATTTGCTAATAAAATGTTTTCGCAACAAACCTTTTTCTTAAAAAATTGATTGTGGAAGAGTTGTCAAATCGAAATTTTCTTTTTGAAAACAAGGACATTATTATAATATTCTCGACCAAGCCAATCTTACCATGTTGTTAGTCGACACTAGACAACAAAAATGTTGACAACAAGAGGATGAACTTGATTTACATTAATCAACTCACAGATCTAGTTAATTAATTATTTATTTAAGTCAGGAAATGAAGATGTTTGTTTGTTTCATTTTAATTGAATCCTTAAATTTTAAGTTGAAATTAAAAATAATTGACATTAGAGATTCTTCTTGGATTTGGATGATATTTTTCTTTCTTTCTTGTAATAATATTTTTTCGGAAAATCAGGATTGAACTCCTCAATTTTTCACGAGATCAAGTTATGGGTTCTCAAATGTCAAAAGTGAACTTCCAACTCCTTAGCTCTAAATTTGTTGTTTTCTATTTTCACGTAATTGAACTTATCAATGTTGACATTAAAATTGGACTAGAAGGTGAAATCGTCAAGCTATTTTTATGTTTCCGTGAGATTTTAATATTTATATTGGCAATTTTATTCTCGTTAGAATTCAAAATTATGTATTTTAATAGGTAGAGAAATCAGAATATCAGTTTTAAACCTCTCTATATCTTTTCACTAAATACTACACATGTGGGCACGTAGTTTTGTTGGACAGTTATCTTTTCAATTATTGGCAATCAAATATATAATCCATATCCTTCCCATTGTTCACATTGAGCGAGAGAGAGAATTTGAGACAAGTGTCCTCCATTTGAGGACGAAGAATGACTGGTTTGGTAGGTGATGAAAAAATATATATATTCTGGCTCAGTCACTGTTGTTTAGCTAAAGACAGGGTGTCCATATCTTCACACTTTTTATAGTGAGCCCTCTAAACCAACGGAGAAGAAAATTTTGGTAGAGAGGGAGAGAATTTTTAGAGAGAGAAATGGAGAACAATGAGAGAAAAATTATGGAGATTGATGAAAAAACATCTGATGATCAACCTGAGTTCAACTACAAGGGTATCAAGGCCATGCCACTCATCATAGGTTTGAACAAAGATTCATCTTTTCTTGAATTTCCTCTTATTTCTTTGTAGTTGAAGGCGACAGCTCTCCCAGAAGGGAAATTTTTCGTGTAAGATCCCTAGGCAAGTTCAGGAGTCACATATCGATCATAAAGCATTGTATTCTTCTTCTTTTCCTCATAATTGAGTCGACCGCTTTTATAGGAGTCCCTCGGGTTGGGCCAAGCAAAGGACACCTTTGGGGTGTTCAGAGAGTCACGGACTGATCATAGAACCTTGTACTCTTTTTCTTTTCGAAAATTCATTTAACAATTTTTGTATTGTTTGAATGAAGGGAATGAGACATTCGAGAAGCTCGGGGCCATTGGTACACTGTCCAATCTTCAGGTGTATTTAACCTCCGTTTTCAACATGTCGCGCATCAACGCGACAACTCTTCTTAGCATCTTCAATGGCACCACAAATTTTGCTACCTTGTTGGGAGCTTTTCTATCTGACACTTATCTTGGCCGATACAAAACATTGGGATATGCTTCAGTCTCTTCATTCCTGGTAAGTTCAACCATAAAATTCGACAAAAATGAAGGAATTCTCTATATAAATTAACATTTTTCTTTTCTTGTGTAGGGATTGTTCGTTATAACTCTAACAGCAGTATTTAATAAGTTGCATCCACCCAATTGTGGAGCGCACGACAGTAAATGTATCGGTCCAGACGCAGGACAAATGGCGTTTCTATGGCTCGGTTTTGGCCTAATGATAATTGGGGCAGGTGGGATCCGACCGTGTAACTTAGCGTTTGGGGCCGATCAATTCAACCCCAATACTGAATCTGGGAAGAGGGGTATCAACAGTTTCTTCAACTGGTACTTTTTCACGATTACATTCGCACAGATGATATCAGTAACACTAGTGGTTTACGTACAATCTGATGTGAGCTGGTCTATAGGATTAGCCATCCCTTGTATTTTTATGCTT